TGCTCTATTAAATTGTAAGAGTCTGCTGGTTTTCATTCCAGCTGAGCTCTCCAGAACATCTCCAGTACTAATTGATGATTTATTAATCGGCCTGCTCGTTTAGATTTTTATTTAACTTGCTTCAGTCAGTTCTGAGTGTCAGAAATACCCTATTACAGTGGTATTGTTTCCCCCAACTGTAGCCGAAAAGGCACGTGCAAACATGCAGTAGTTGTACTGAAGCAGACTAACACTGCAAAAATCAATAAAGCTGTGAGGCAGGCCGGGCCTAACATGTGACTGCTGCAGCAGATGGTGCTACAAGGCTGAGAGAGATGCCTTGGTCGCAGATATTAGTGAAGTTCTCAGCAGTGGGTATGATGAGACACTGCTGAGAGAATGCATATCTTCCGTGCATGTTAAGGGATTGCAGAGTGTGGAACTCGGTTTACTCAGTTCACTGTGGCCTTAAGTGAAGCGTGGAAATTCAGGAGATGTCCTGCACGACTCCCTTTTTTGGAGTCCTGCTTATACTTTAGGTTGTCTTTTCCTTTCTGCTATAGGGCTATATCTGTTCCTCTAAAACTCACATAACAGAGTTTCACTGTGTGTTGTCTACCTTTTTTTTTTATCAAAACCCCTCTGTTTTTGCATTTCTTTTCCCAAAAGACAGCCCTGCTCTGATTTTACTAAATTTCTCAGCCGGGCCCTCGAGTGTCTTTGCCAACTGCAGTGTTCAATTATTGAGCTATCAGTATCCATTTTGGCTCAGTGACAATTTTTGCCGAGCAGAGCCAAAATGGCTGTGTCCTGTGGAAGCTTCCTGGCGACACGCAGCTGCATTGTCCACTTAGATGTAAACTCCTTCATAGATGCAGTATTTTCCCAGACTTGTGAAGTACTGAAAACACCAGTCTTATCAGCTGGAGAGAAATAGAGTGAGAGTTAAATCCTCTAGTGTCTGATCCTCTAGAGATAGTCAGTTTGTAGCCTCACACTTAGCCGAATGACCCTTAAATCCCAGATTGTAAAGCAAGGTCTGCATTGTAAAGGTACTGAGAGGTCCAAGGCTTGTACACCCATTCTTGAAATATGGAACTTCTACTGTTATCACTTATTGAACACTACATTAAGAACATGTTATTAATTAAAGACTGCTTTAGAAGATTTGGTTCCTGTTTTACTGAAGCATTCCGATTCTTCTTTTTCCGAATATTTCGAAAGTTGGGAAAAGCCAGCATGCGTTTTGCTTGCTGTCCTGTTGGTGTCCTTCTGAGAATCGTGCATTACTGAGATAGGGCACCTGCACTGAAGGTTCTGGATGTGAGACTTCTGTACGTATACCAATGGAATCCTCTTACAGGGACTGGCAGACAGGTGAAATATTGACAGAAGGAGTGTTTTATTTTTTCAATTAAGGTTTAGTTTGTGAAAGCTTTTTGTCATTAAACCTGGGTGGCTAAAGTGACTTAAGTGTCCATGGTTTATAATTATGTAAAGTGATTTGCAAGAATTAAAGGGCCCTGCTGAGAAAGGGTTTAAATGCTTTGAAAGGTTTAAAAGGACTTTCCAAATCTTTGACATTTCACTAATGTTGCAAAACTGAGTACTGCAGCTTCAAGAACAAAATCATATTTCCAGTATAACAGTGCTGTCTTAAACTTGCCTTTAAAGTTTACAATTACAATTGTAAAAATACAATTAAAGGGGACTTGCTTTTTCTTCCCAGTTATACTATGAGATGGAAACCCTCAATTACTAAATAGCTTCAAGATATCTGGAGATGTAGCAAATCATAAAAAATATTTTAGTATCTACAGCAAAGAAGAGTTTTTCTACTACACTTCAGTATTGCTGAACTGCTTCCATTCAGAATGACAAATGACTAATTCCTTGAGGGAAACTTCAGACAGCTGCTTGTGGGTGTTTTTATTCACTAAAGTGAGGGGATAAGTTTCTGTGCTTTTACATGAGTGAGATAGAGTTTCTGTTTCTTCAGGAAAAAGCCCTGTTTCAGGCAGGACATGACCACCACAGCTCACTGTTGCCTGGTGCAGTAAATGGAGATGGTGCCAGATTCACAATGCCCTCTCAGTCACTAGGATGACTGATTATGGAACACCAATGTGCACGATGAGTGTTACACATTGTCAGTGGTCAGGAGAGCAAGGACAATATATTAGTCCCATCTGTGGACTGGTTGTTTATTAATAGTTTTCACACAATCACGATGATAGATGAACAAGTAAAAAGTATAGCGTGATCCCTCCGAATCAGATGTAACTGAACAGCAGTGACTCTGAGCACTTATTTCAGCAAGACTGTTGACCCCGGAACTGTGGGTAATCACTTTTTAAATATTAATATAACAGCTAGTGTAATATCAGAAGTTGTTGTTCTTTTTCAGATTTTTTTTTTAGACGTTAGGTACAAGGGTAGCAAGACAATGTTTATTTAATATTCAGTGAGAAATATAATATACTACTACCTAGAGCAATGTTAAGATTTAAGAGCTTTTTTAATGTGAGAAGCCCACATTTTCTCTGCATTCAGAATAGAATGAAGTATTGATTCATTTTGCTTGTACGAGAGATGCATCGGTGGTTTAAAACATTTCCATTGCCCCTGGTCATGAAGAGTTCTGGTTTTTAGTGAGCACCCTGCTCTGTGTGTTTCTTTTCCATTGTTAAAAGGCCGATGTGTAGCTCTCCAAGCTTATCAAAATCATTTCACCTGTCACATCGGCTGGGATTCATCAGGCCCATTATTACTGGACTTAGAAGTGGTTTTTCAAGTAAGGGTGGAGCTTTGTGGCGATATCTGTTCACCTATTTATCACCTTTGTGTTCCAGATATAGTTTCAAATCCTGACCTACACTTGGGGATCCAGCTGCTTGGTATTACCCTGATATTACCCCGGTTCCCAGTCTGTCCCTACGTGTCAGATGAGTTGCGACCAGCCTTTGGAATTGAGTCAGAATTGATTTGCAGTGTCTCGATGCAGAATAGGGTAATTGCTCATAGCAGATTTAGAAATAGCGCACAAGATGAAGGTGAAAAAGAAGCTTAGATTCAAGAAGACCAAATTAAACTGGGAGAGGAATGACGAGTGCATCGCCACCACTGGGTCCTGAAGGATTCGCTGGCGGGGTAGAATCCTGCAGTGAAACTCTAGGTAAAGCACGTAAAGTAAGAGTTATAACGGCTATAACACTGGAAAGACATCAGCTGGATGGGCAGGGCAGGATGGTGCTGGCTTCCTGGAGGAGGGAGTGTGGTGCAGGCTGAAGGAAGCATGGCAGAGAGGCAGGCCGAGGGGGGATGGCACAGCAGCGAGCAGGGAGCCCTGGAGTGCTCCTGGCCCACAACCAGCTCTGGGAGAGGAGGGTGTCTCGGTGATGCTGTCACAGGGACGTGCCAAAAGGCCAGCTGTGGAGGGAGGTGAGGAGGAGCTGCAGAGTCCGACTCCATAAGGGATTTCAGCCGCACAGCCGTGTTGGTAAAAGAGCAAGGAGAGAAGAGAGCAATTATTGGAACCCCTTAATTACAGTAGGAATTAGTGGAGTTTGATGTGAAAATTCAGATCTGTTCTTTGTTTCTGGATCGTCAGGCCTGTAATTACTAGATTTTCCCGTGCTTGGAGCTCCAGCGAATCAGGCTTGTAGATTGGTGTAGGTTTTAAATAGCTGTGAGTAATGCAAATTCCTTTGAAATTAATCTGCAGCGAGAGTACAGACACCCTTATTTTTTTGCCAGTTTTTTGACACGGCTTGTCATTCCCAATTAATAGTTTTAGACAATCAATTTAAAAACTCAATGAACTGGTTATTTCTTATTACTAAGTTTGAATATACAGTAGGTGTAATGTTTACAGTGACTTCTGTTGGAGTGAAGATCGGAGGATGTATATTGGGATTAACCTGTTTTATATAAAATGGGAGTATCTGTTACCATATTACTATCATGGTATTACTATTACTATAGTAGTATGTTAACATGGCATGAATTGGTCAAATAAAGTCAGTGTGAGAGTGGAGAGCCTATATCCAATAACTATTAAACCCTTTTCTGTATAACAACATATCTTTGCACCTATCATCTCGGTGATATACGTATAATGGTCATGTCTGCTTCATCCTGACTTGAAGATGAGAAAGATGTTGCTGATGACTGAAATACTGATTCGCGCCATTAGAGGGCACTGCGATGTAACTTATTTTCCATTCTTTTTTCCACTGGTTAATAAAAGGTTCCAAAAATTGCACCATTGCCTGGGCAAGATTGTCCAGGTGATGCGAATGTGTTGGTATGGTGTTAGCAGAGCTGCTCTCGCTAGACGCTCATTGAGTAGCCGCGCCACCCCAAGACAAGGATAGTTACCGATTTTCAGCCGGTAGCAGCAGAGTACAGGTCAGCCCATGTCTACCGATCTATGGTTTGAAATGTAATATGTAGTTATACCTCGTAGCTGTATCTCTTTCTGACCCTAAACGTGTTTAAAGTGTTTCCGTGTTGCTTTCGGTGGCAGCTGTTCATTACGTGCCGCTGTTCTGGCCCTTTTTGTACCAAAAACACCACTACCCATAATCCTTTGCGACAGTATTTTAAATATTAAACAGGGGAACGTATGACGAGTTTCTGATAGAGGTGTATATCGAAACAAGTTTATATCTAATACATATATTTGTTAATGAAAAACAATATGACTTTTTAATTGTTTTTTTATTTTGTGTTGACTTTTTGTTGAATAGTAATTCACTGTTACCTGAATACAGTGTATAGTTCTAAAATATTGTATCCTGTCGTTTTACCACAGTAATGTAGTAGTCATGCTTTAAGAAAGTCATGCATCCTTTGTAGGCAGAAAATATTTTTATGTATTTCATATTTTATTGCAGCTTTAAAAAAAACGTGTCATTCATCTCCCACCATTAACGACCTTGAAAGCGGCAATCCTTTTTTATCCTGAATAAGCCGTCATCACTCAGTTCCGCTGACGCCTGCCCCTTTCCTGCCCTCAGGTGGCTTTGCTGGGAATGGACATTCTGTCTGCCCTGGTGACGAGGCTGCAGGAGCGCTTCAGGACACAGATCGGCACAGGTACGGCCGCCCCTCCCCCAGGGGGAGCTGGGATGTCTCTTCTACAATATTGCGTTTCCGGCCATTTCAGACCTCGGGCTAATAGGGGCGCAGAGAGAACGGGTGCCCCCTTACCTCTCTAGGAGCTGACGTCTGTGTTGTGTGCTCCTCCCCGCAGTCCTGCCCAGTCTGATAGACCGGTTAGGGGATGCGAAGGACCAGGTGCGAGAGCAAGACCAGACCCTGCTGTTGAAGATCATGGAGCAAGCTGCTAACCCACAGGCGAGTGGCGCCCCTGTCTGGGGGCTTTTACCTGCACCTCTGGCTCTCGAAGCTGCTGGGCCCGAGCGATGTGAGCCAGCCGAGCCGGGAGTTTGTATTATTGTGAGGTGCTTTCGAGGGGATAATCAACAGTGGTCGCAGTAGTGGATCGTAATTCATCATATTCATGAAAGCAGAATAATCTGATTTTTTTCAGACATAAAAAGGCAAGAAACAACTAGATTTGTGGTCCCTTATTTAAAAAAAAAACGTCCGGCACAGGGACCTTGTGTAGGAACGTCCTGGGTTGGTTTGCCGCTTTAGTCAGCCTGTGTGTGGAGAGGGACAGCAGTGAGAATTTCTCAAGGGGCTACTGTGTTTCTCTCCCGATGCCTCTGGATGAACGGACCCTGGGTCTTTCTGCAGTATGTGTGGGATCGGATGCTGGGAGGCTTCAAACACAAGAACAATCGAACCCGAGAAGGAGTCTGCCTTTGCCTTATTGCAACACTAAATACGTGAGTTATTGGCAAGCGCCGACCATGAAATAAAATGGGAAATGGAATAGGGCTCAATTGTAAACCTGTTTCTTCCAGATGTGAAGCTTTTAAACTCTTTCCATTTAGATGTTATTTTTTGCCATTGTTGTTTCATGCTGTTGGCATTCTGAGTGCTGAACAGTTTCTTCCTCCTGTTGCATGTTGTGTTTACAATACAAACGCTGCCACCCGCCCTCGAGTACGAAATGTCATCTGGGGGCCAGTTGTACATCATACAGAAGAGTCAGAGAAATATGGTCTTTTCATCACTTGATTTGAGTTGATTTTTGGAATTTACTTTCCTAACTCTAACAACAGCGAGGAAGACCACATACAGAGAATGGGAGTTCACACACACACACAGGAACAAGGTCTGACAGTGGGGTTGCTGATGAGTAAAACACCTGCTCTACTGGTATTTAACCAAACCTTTCCATTTTTCTTTATAGGTATGGAGCTCAAGGTTTGACACTAAGTAAAATTGTGCCCCATATATGTAACCTCTTAGGAGATCCAACGTCTCAGGTAAAGTATGCTTCTGGTTTTTGATATGCATTTGAATGCAGTTAATTTAGTTTTAAGCATGTGTTACAGTTTAACGGGTGACAGGCTAACAATTTTAAGGTATGCGGTAAACATTACTTTGGTGGTGTCCTAAAAAGGCGTATAGAGCCCTCTGTTGGTGACCAAGAGAATTGCACTCTTGCTGGAGTGCCATCTGCTGGTAGAAGAAGCACCAAAACTGAAGGGAATGAAGGGATTAAAATCTGGCAACACAACAGTGGTGGAAATGAGTCACGTTTAGACCAAGAAATGGTCATGTTGTTTTATAAGCATACTGTGCTTTGAAAACTAGCAAGTCTATAAAATGTATTGTGTGCTTTACTACTTAAAATGATTGCCTTCATTATTTTCATTTACATCTTAACATCCTGCCTTCTACTACAGTGTCTTGCAAAAGTATTCCTAGTGTATTCCAGTACATTAAATTACCTATTACATGTTTGCACAGTTTTATATGTCTAATATTTGCTTCAAAACCTGAATGCTCGAATCAAAGATTTCTAAGGGTGAGATGTAAGATAGTCACAGTAAAATTTCGGCAAAAACTGAAAAGAAAACTGAAATATGTTGATTGCGTACGTTTTCAGACCCGTGAGCTCTGTATTTGGTGGCAGCACAATTGCAACTGGAAGGCTTTCTTGCAGGCTAGTTTAGTGAAGAGTGCTTGGTATTACTGACTGATGCACATTTTCTACCATTGAACTCTGTAACTCTTTTAAATGTGTCAGCGGCCTCGCAGTGGCCTCCCTCTCTGGTTTCCTAAATTTGCAGTTTTCCCCAAAGTCCACCATTTTGTGCTTAATTCAGATTTTGTAAAATCTTTGCGCTACCATCAATCAATTTATTGTGTTACTGAGATTTAATTACCAATCAGAGAATTTGTTTGCCACAGCAAAGGGCTAGAAAACGTTTTAAATCATACCATTTTTCTTTCATATTAAACGGCTGTTTACTTCTTGTTTTTTGCTTTTGAGTGTGTGGAGTAAGCTTTGTGTATAACGAGTTCAAAGCGTCATGTCAGCAAAGTTGAAAGCAGCAAAATGTGAAACTGTACAAGGGTCTGAATAGTTTCTCAAGGCACTGGATGTTTCGATTCTGAAATGTCTGTTCTTCAAGTAGAAACGCAGCTTCACTAGTCTCAGAAACTTCCACTTGGGGGAGGGATTTGATGCTTGTAGCAGGCCAGATTTAATTGAGAAGTATTAATTTGGAGAATGAAAAATAATTTGTGGTTTTTCAAACCCTTTTGAGTTTGTTTTGTAAAAGAAAGAAACTATGTTTTCAATGAGTTCTGTATGAGCCTTTTTTCCCCCAGGATGTATTATCCGCTGAGAGGGGTGTTTGTGTGTTTGTCCGCAGGTGCGGGATGGGGCGATGACCAGCCTTGTGGAGATCTACAGACATGTAGGGGAGAGAGTGCGGGTGGATCTCAGTAAGAAGGGATTACCACAGTCACGGTACGTCCTCTCTGCACTGCTCGCCGCAGGGGCTGCAGTGGGCTCCTCCTCTCTGCACGCGCCTTGGGGACGTGCTGCCGGCGCGGTCACAGAATACGAAATTCCCTCGGGACTGTGCTTCTAGGTCCTAGCTCTCGTGTGGCTGTCCTGCACTTTGTAAGCAGCTTTTAATCATTTAATAGTCACCGTTACTCATAAAAACCCGAGGACATATTTGCGCTCATCAGACTTGAAACTGGATTTCCTTAAAAATAGATTAACTTTGGTGTTTAGAGCAAATCAGGCAGTGCATGTTAATTTTGCTGCAGTCTGTGCGACATTTTCCTTTCATTGACTTTTTGAAATTTACATTTCATTTACTATAGCTGTGGGTCCATGCAGGCTTTGGGAGTGTCGTTATTGTTCCATGGGCCGTCTGTTGGTTAGGTCACCATTTAATTTAGAAAGAATTTAGCCCCTAATTTTAAGCAAGCATGACTCAGCTGTTATGTTACCATCCTGGACTTTCTTGTCAGTTAAAGGCCAGTTTTCTACCAGATGACAGAAACTGAATAATTATTTAATTTATAAACCGTTTTTTTAATCTGAACTTTGGTGTTATAAAAGAATTAAATGCAGTGCTGTCTGGTCAACATGTATGCAATTATTTTACTACAGGTTACACTCCTGCCAGTGCAGTAAATAATTATTTTTATCACTTTTAAGCATGACATATTTTATTTAATATTGGCATACGTTTACCTAAATAAGTCTTATTTAATTAACTAGAGCCTTTACTATATAGAGAATGACAATTATCCTAAAATGATGGGATAAAATCAAATCATAAACCAGATTATTGGTTGCTTTAAGCCTGGTTTTCACTGAAAAAAGCCTTTTGGTAGAGAATTTTGAACATACTGTATATGATAAGCCATTCTTGGCTTACCTGTAATAAAGTTAGTTTTTCCTCGTTGCTGGTTTCGGCCAAGAACATGGGGCTCTTTGGATCTCCGGAGTGTCCTTTTAGTTCCTTTTATCTTATTGGGCTGTGTGGGAATGGAGTCTTCTGACAATCTGGCACAACAGCATTTCAGATGGACTGAGCCCTGTACCGTGCTGAGAGAACAGTTCTGTAATCTGACCCTTTGAGACTAAGAGCTGCAATGGATAAATCATGACGCTGGGTAGGAAGTGAGAAGATGCATCGACATCGTGGAGAGTAACGGCAGGAAAGGCTTGTGCTATATAGTGCTGGTACAGAATCCATGATCTAACCGCTCCTTGTTAGCTTGTTGAATGACTGGCTTGCTCTGACAGCAGTGTAGAAAGAGCTGGGTGAGTGTTGGCATGGAAGTGGTTGACACGGATTATTAGTGCTGTGCTGTGAGGCAAATTTGGGGATCCATGGACTGGCGGGATAATAGTGGGTGACATGTGTCTAATTTAATAAAACTTCCACAACATAAGACCCTGCGATGTGACGTAGAAAGTGGGGGAACAGCAACCCTGGTCCATCCTGGTGTATCAGTGGGTCGACTCCTGACTGCATCTGGGAACGGTTAACCCTCTAGATGCCCACAAGTCATTTGTGCTTTTCGGTCTCTGGATTTTTTCACTCACTAAAACCAGGGAACAGGTTGCGAATGCTGGGAGACTGTGCCGTCTGTCCAGCAACCTCGAGGCTGCGGAATGATCTCCAAGTCCACATTGCGTCTTGCAAGTCCTGCCTTAACACTCACTTGCATACTATGTCTTTCATTCCCCTTGAACTTCCTGTATCTGTACTGCTCGTTTTGTTGGAAAGCACCTCGAGATGATGCTGTGAAAGGTGCGATATAAAATAAAAATGTGTATTTCACCCTTCCCTTTTCTGTTCTCTTCTGACCTTCGAGGGTCACACTGAGCAAGAGCCTAACCCAGCAGGCACAGGGCATAGGGCATGAGGCGAGACCGTGCCCACATGGGACACCAGCCCATAGCAGAAGAAGCTGCTTTTGTCATCTTCATCATCATCATCTTGCACAAGAAGCTGTAACAGTGTGTTGAGCTCCCTGGGCAAAGTGTGCAATCTTATCTGCAGTGGCTGCTGTGGATCCATTTTTTGCTTTGAACCCTGAGTGACTTAATCTGTAGCTGATAAAGTTTTTGATTGAATTAGCTGTTGTGCCAAAGTCTCACGTCCCTACAGACCAGCCTGGTGCTTTTCAGCTGTGATTATCTTGCTATGTTACACATGGTTGCTGCCAGCCTTTCATCAGCACTTAAATTGGGAACATGGGTTGAGATTCAGTGTGTTAATCTCTTTGATTTTTCTTGTTGCTGTTTTTTTTTTCCTCTATTGCATCTAGTCTCTTGTAAACCTGGAAGTACTGCTTGTAATCCGCATAAAGTGCTTTGTCACCTGGATGTTTCATGCCCAGCTCGTGTCTTGTTTGGCCTACTTGGGACATGGTAGCTTCGTTCTCATTGCAGCACCTGAAACACAACTTTCAGATTCATAAACAGAAAGCCAGAGGCTTTCCAAACGTGGTCTTTTTGACTTCCCTTGTACTTGATCGCTAACTAAATGTACAGCCCCCAAAGCTAGGATACAATCACCGAGCACAGCGAAGAGGGACGTTTAGGAACTGTACTAATTTGAAACAAATGTTTTGTAATTTGGGGGGGAATGATTAAACAGAAACGTTTATTAATGACAAAGTAACTTCATGTAGGTATTTTTTACTTTATTTTTCTAATTGCTGTGAACCCACTGTGAACTTTTGTTATGGAAAATTCCTTCATTTTTATTGTGCTTTTTTATTTTTGTGTTTTGTTTTATTCATTTAGTGTTGGAAAACAACCATGTATTTAAATTTAATATATAAAATTGAATCCGGTCACTTATGCTTAAAATAATCTCCTACACTTTTGACTTCAGGAGGTCTTGAGGAAAGCCACAATCTTAGTTTATTCTTCAACTCACAAGGAATGGATATTCAGTGACTGATATTTTTTGTTCATTTCTACTGATCTGTGCTTTTTAATGACTTTATCTTTCAGGTGCTTAGAACTGCTACAGTTGACTCTTTGCTTTGCTGATTCTTTGCTTGAATTTCACTACCTGACCAGGAATCCTCACAGAGATGGGTGATTTCATTCTGAAATCGTGAGAAGCCCTCTCATTGAACCCAGACAGTGCCCACTCCACTTGTGTGGGTCAGTAAGGTGATTTTGTGCACCTAATATCATTTTAGTTTTCCACTGCAAAGGGATTTGGAGATGCAGTATATGGAGTCATGACGTTTTTCATTTTTTCCCATATTTTTTATTTTTGCTTTTTATGAGAGAGTAGATTGTGTATACACCAAAAATTGCTACTTTAAGATGCCATGACTGCAAACTTTCAAGCAACAATATAATGGAAACTGAATGTGACCATGTTAAAAGATGATAGCTTTTATTTTAAATAGTGCCTGTACAGACCACAATCTACACTTTTGACAAGGGTGTGCCAGGGTCTGAATACTTTTGTAAGACGCACAGTGTGTGTCGCTCACTTTGGTAGGTTTATCTGTTGTTTTTTATCTTATCTTTGCATTATCTCTTTAATGCAAAGAATTTGTATGCAATTAAGAAAATGGTAATGGAATCATAAATTGTGAGCCCTTTCACTCTTACATGAAACGCTCTATGTTCCACATGGTAAAAATGAAGTAGACATTCTTGCTTTTGCAGAACTTTGAATCAACTGTGCTGAACAAAGGTCCGTGTCTTCATAAAGCTTTAAGTATTCAGTACGTACAGCTATGCAATATGAAAGCATGTCATTCACTATCTCTTTAGATCTTCATATTCAGAAAATATTCATATAGTTTTGTTTTTTTGTTTTTGTAAATGTATTTTAAGTCCTATGTCTATTGAAAAGCCTAAGTATATAGCAATATGTTAGGTATATGTAAGGATTTGGAATCTAGAGTAGCATTCAGTGACTTTATGTACATAATATATGTAGATCTTTTCTCATTTACAATGATAATTTTATAGTTTTAATATTCTGGGATGACATAGTAGTGGATTAAGCAGAGAACACTGTCATTTTGGATTCAGGCACTGTAGTTTCCTAAGCTCCCTTCCGGATTGTCTCCCAAATTTTGTTGTCTCTATCTCTGGCTCCTGAAGACTAGCAACAAAGACTCAAAATCATTGCCTCTGCCATTTCCCTGTCAGTGCAAACCCATACTGTCAGCTTAAGGACATTTTTATCTAGGTCTTTGGTGATAAAAATACTCTTGCATTGGGGTATTGACTGATTAAAATGCAAAGCATTGCTTCTATGTTTCCTTGAGATCAGGAAAACCTATTTTAGCAGTAAGCATGGGGGGAATGCTTTATTTTTAATGTAGTGGTAAAGTTTAGCAAGAACTTTTGAAAACAAATGACACATCCTGCAAAGTTTTAAAAGCTGACTGTGGGTTTCCATGCCAGAATGGCTTATGAAAATAGTTTTTCTTTTATTCAGCCACTGTAAAGGAAAGTGTTTTTTCAAATCCCCATGAGTATTTGCAGCTATTACCTTCAGGATTCCTAAATATTTTGCAGATACTATGCCGGTTTACACATACTGTACCTCATTTCGGGCTGCCATTTTGCATTTTATGGTTGTACTTTAAAATGCCTACGATTTCCAAATGCTGGACAAGTGTAGTTGACAATTGAGTCATGGTACTCATTGTACTTTCAATTTCAGTAATTTTGTTTTCCTCGTCCATGATGGCTCTCAGGCACCAATCAAACTCCAACATCAAACATTACTTTGGATTTCACTTAACTTCACATATTGGGAAGGCCCTATGCAGATCTGTCCCTCAGCAAAAATGGTATTATTGGGTCACATGGTTATGTCTACCATATTGGATTTTGCAGGACTTTTGTTAAATGTTCCAAACTGGTAAAAGCATGAATGATGGACAGTACAGCTGTGAAACATTGTGTAAGTCTTCTTATGTCTACGTTTGATTGTATGAAAGCAAAGCTGGTGAGTTCACATGACATGGTGACCATGCTGGGGTTTTCTTGACGCACTGAAATGATGGCTCCTCAGCTCGGTCAGTTGAGGTAAATCATGGTCTGCTGTCCTCTGTCAGTATTACTCAGGAAGAGTTACTGTTTAGAAAAAAACAATGCCAGATTTAAACTTTTCTATATACTGTACATGCAGTTTCTTTTCTGTTTTTTTGGCAGTGTGTTATATTACATTTTAGGGATGTTAGAGGTTTTTGGAATGTGAAAGGGCCTATCAAGGGATGTTGTTACATTATTCTGTGGTCATAGAGGGTTGTGCAAAATGTGCCAGTGTCTCATTTTATCTATGAATTGGTCATCCCTTGTATTCCGGTTATCACGACTAATTGTAAGTCATCATTTATAAAATACTAAACATCATCTGTACATCTTCTGTAACCTCCTTAGAGGGTCACAATGAAGGAGGAAACGGGAGTACCTGGAGAGTATCTGAAGTCTGAAACCTTACCTTATTGTGTTATTGTCAAGTTGCCAGCTGCTCCTAGTTTTGTTTGCAACGGCTTTTAAAGTTTAAGGTCAGCTCTGAAAAAGAGAAAGTGAAAACAGAGGAAGCACACATGAGAAATAGGTGTGTTCATTTAATTTTTTATACCAAGTGAAGATGAATTCAATGAATTTATTTTTTTACCAAGTGCTGCAACAAAGAAGGGATGAATGACTCGATCCTTATCTGCTCCTGTAGTAAAGCCCAGTGCAGGGTCTGTGCCAGAGTTTCTGAGAATCTGATACAACTCGTCCCCAATAGCTTCTAAAGTGGGTCATCGGAGGTTTCTGCTGCATATCAGCTGTGGTCCCGAAGTAGTGGGATTGTGTGTTACTTCAAACCCTTCATTCCCTCTGTGTGAAGAAGGTTCGTCAACTGAGTTATTAGCTCCATCTGGTATATTTTTATGATTTACTCTGTGATCCGTGGAGACACAATGCAGATATTTTCATTTTTCTTTCTGAGAATGAAATACTCTTCAATAGGTTGACGGGGAATTCAGGTTTAATTCCTTCAGACCTTGTACCCTGTTGAAGCCAATACCCTGGCTTCTTTCAAGAAATGGCTGGATGAGGTTCTGGAGCAGTTAGCTTCTAATTACCCCCCTCGCTTGTGGCATTTCTTATGTTTTTAGTATCTTTTAACGAGTGATCAAGAAGATCAGTTGGTATTTGGTTTATTTCCGTGCACATCAGCTTGTATCATAGCAGCACAATGTAATAGATGTTTTTTTTTTCCCCCAAAGTAACAGCTGACAATATCTGTTCTACTCAGATGTAAGTCTAAACCTATTAGACTAATATTAGTCATAAACCTGTTATACAGCATTTGTCACATATTTTCATTTGACTTTTCATAAATTTAAATAGGTTATGCGCATTTTACAGAGGTTTGTGACAACAATCTATAGAAATAAGAAGGGAAGAAATAAATTATTACCACCTAAGGTTCTTGCTTTTTCCGGATTCTTTTTTTCATTCCAGTAAGAAGGCTGTAAATGGGAGGAGAGGCCACGAGGCCGATCTAGCCTGTTTTCTGTGATCTGAGGATCTCATCTAGTTGTTTCTCAGAAGAAGCTAAGGTCGGATTCAACCAAATGTCTGGCAGCTTGTTCCACACTCGCACAACCCCTTGTGCAAAGTGGGTCAGCCAACCCCTCTTGTTAATCTACTTGTAATTGTACTTTATTGTTTTGAGTCCAAAGTATGGAAGTCTAAAAGTAAACAACCTGTTGCAAAAGTCGCTAACAGTTTGAACTTTATCTTAAAATGTGTTTTAATATTAATTAGCCCCTTGTCCAGTCACAGCACATAAGCAGTGTAAAATATTTTTTGCACATGTTTGCCTATAATCTAATTATAATTAGTCTATGATCTAAAGTGTATATGTACTATAGGCAAGGGGACTATTTGCTTGTCTCACCTTGTCAGCTGTCTTGTCCTGCTGTGCAAATGTTTGCTGAGCTCAATCAAACTCCCTATTTGACAGGTTCTAGGACAAGTAAGCCTTGGGAGAAATGTAGATGTATAAAATAAATATTTCCATCTGTGTAATCTTCCTTTTAAATGTTTTTATTTCTTTTTTTTTTCCAGATTGAATGTAATTTTTTCCAAATTTGATGAAGTCCAAAAATCGGGCAACATGATACTGTCCACAGCCTCAGGTGAGTAAACTCCTGCACTTACACAGGAGTCTGTTTCTTCCACCATCTCGCTGTAGTGATCTGGAGGTTTCCTTGGGTATAAAACAGCTTTAAAATAGTGTTACAAACCGTTTCTTTGTTTAGGCAATTTTTGTGCTTTTATTAATGCTGCTGTCCTTAAATTATTTCAGCATGTATTACTGTAAACCACTGACACTGAGACAGGGTTTCACCAACCAGCTTCTCAGCCCTGTGCTGTGATTGTCAGAGTGGTTTAAACATTGGGGCTGGCTCGTTACATCTGCTGAGGTGGGGGGAATGTTGGCAGAACGGGGATAATTAAATACCTCAT